AATCTTTAAGATAAATTTAACATTCACTTAAAATGCCAAAATACCAAAGTAGTAGATCCGTTAGTTAAATATCGAATAACCGTAGAATGAGACATTCATTAAAATGATTATTGCTATGCTTCTTCTAGCTTTGGCTCGGAAAATAAAAAGGACATCTGTAATGGAGTTTTTAGGTTTGTTAAGGGGAAAATATTACATTTTTCATGTTTTCTAGATGTTGCATGAAAAAGCAGTGGTTGGAAGTAATTCAATTCCTTTTCAAGTAATAAGCAATTGCAACGAATTACTTTTTGAGTAATTCAGTCACTTTACAAATACTCAAAAATATTATTTTGGTTTCTCAAAAATATTATTTTGGTTTTCTCTACGAATCGTTTACCTGACATCCTGGGATTATTATACCTGGTTCGTCCCCACAAAGAGAAGATTAACCTAGTAGGGAGTTAAAATCTAAAACGAGTTTAGCACAGAATTTGTTAAGAAAACAGGTAACCATTATATACATAAGCTCTTCATCATTTTAAGGGTGAGCTCAAGCATATTCCAGCATAGAGAAATACATATAAATTTCGGTCCAAGTTTTTGGTAAAAGTATACGTCCGATTGTAATAAACTTCACACCGTTGAAATGAGCGTAAAAAACCCTACCCAAACTACTTTTCCGTTTTTTAAATTTTGTTGTTAAAAAAAACTACAACGCGTTAAAATTGTGATGAGTATGAGATTATCTGGTTTTCGCTATTTATGGATCAATTTTAAATTTTCAAAAAGGTACATTAGTAGAAATTGTATTAAAAAATCCATTGCGCTTTACAGAAATAAAATATCTTAATAAATAATTGAGTGAACAGGGGCAGAATATTTAAAATTTGTGGTCAAACAAACTTTAGCCAACAACGTGTTCAGACTTTTTGACATAAACATAATTTAAATTTCATAAAATAATATACTCCCACACTTATTATACAGAATATAGAATGTCACGCCCTTCTATATTTAATAATATAAAAATAGTAATTCTGATAACAGATCCTCTCCCAAAATAATATTCACAGCGTTTTGCTCCACTGCAGCTAAATTACTATTTTGAAGAGATAAAATCAATCAGTATCATTTTCTTTTAACAGAAATGCATGCTTATTACCTCAACGTGATAATAAGTCAAATTCCTTCCAAGTATAAATATATACGAACGGCAATGAGTTGATTTAAACATTGTATTATAAAGACTTTTTTTTCACAATTTAGTGATGTTTTAATAAGTTAATTAAGTTAGAATAGCAATTCTGTTTGACGAAGTGACTGATGAAGGGAGTCAATAACTCGAAATCGGTCCCACACATAAATAAATAATATGTACAAAAGTAATAAAATTTGGTGGGTGCTGAAAAAAAGGGGAAAAACTTAAGCTAAAAAATTAAAGCAGAATCCACCAAATATGAGACAAAATTATAAATATAAACAATCAAGTTACGAATAATTTTTCAAAAAAGCAGGATTTGTTGCACTGTACTTCCGGGACGAAGGAAGTTCTATGCTTCCTTATATTTACTTTAACATTACATGCATATTTTTATATTAACTTATAGTTCTCATAAAAAAATAAAATTCGCAAAATCAAATTTTACAATTTGTCGGAAAAGCTGGATGTACTTCAGAGGCCAGGAAAGTTCTGTCGAAATAACCTTGGACGATTTTTTTTATTTTAATTTAAAATCTACGTCAGTTATCTTGAAGTTATTAATAATTATAATCTTATCTAAAACAAGGACTTCTACGATTATATAAAAAATATGCACGCATAAGCAACAAAAAATTCACCAACTGCATGCCAAGAAAATATTGAAGAAATCGGTAGCTTGAAAATATATACAGGGTGTTTCTTTTATTTGACACAACCCCTGTAACTTTTTTATTCTTAAAGATAAACCTGTAATTCTTTGAGCAAATGTATCATTTTAAAAGATCTATGTGATGGCAACCTCACATTTACATTATTACTTCCGGTAGAACCGGAAATGACATCATCTTTATTTTTTATGGAACCCTAGGTATATTTTTTCATAAATGGAAAGACTGATTTTTTCTAAAAATCACAGGCAACCAATATTTCTAAAATCAATACTTAAAAAGTTATTAAATAAAATACACGAAAAATTCATATTAATTGATGACAATCTAGTAGCTTGAAAAATTGATACTCATGTCATTTATTCACATAGATGATCTTTTAAAATGATACAAATTTGGTCAAAGAACTATATCGCACTGTGAGAGCAATACTCACGTAACTCAAAACCAGCGTGTTTTGAGTAATGATGCTTTAAAATTCCCAAGTGTTTATATATTATTTGTATCTTAAATACCAAAGGCTTCGAAATACATTATAGTCGTATTGTCAATCTATTATTAATCGTGTTTTTATTCCTTTAGAGTAGACCCTTCTACTCGTTATAGAAAACAAGAAATTTTGACTTACGTGACTATTGCACTGCTACACCATATCAAATATTTTGGCTTGCGTGTTAATAAATTTAAGACAAGAGCAAACTAGCAACACATTGTAATGAAAAAAATATAACAAAACACAAAACGATCACAGTATTAATTCATTCAACATCTACATTGACCGGCAAAAAAAACCGGCCACCCTGAAAAATTTCACAAAACCACTTTAAAACTTAATTTAACTAGTGATCGTTATTTTATTAAAGAATCATTCACTATTGACACATGATGTACAAATTAGCACAAAAAAAAAGATAATTAAACGCAGAATTAAATTTAATTTAACAAAATAACAGAAACAGACCAAGTACGATATTTTCTTAAAAAAAAACAATAAAGGAGGCTGTTGTTGTAAATAGTGTTTTTCATCATTTGATTATAAGTTTGGCAATTAATAAACGTTTTCACGCGAAAATAATTCCGTTAACTCTTACAGACGTCTTTCAAAGTGTCTCTCTGTTTCTGTTATTTTGTTAAATTAAATTTAATTCTGCGTTTAATTGGCTTCTTTTGTTTGCTAATTTATACCTTATATGTCAATAGTGAATGGTTCTTTAATAAAATAACGATCACTAGTTAAATTAATAATTTTTAAAGCTTCGTTCTGCGAAATTTTTCAGGGTGGCCGGTTTTTTTTTGCCGGTCAGTGTACTATGGCTGAATTGTTATAAAATGTGTTATAATTTTATTTAATTCGTTTTTTTATACATAATTGATTCAGTCCATCGTATTTTTTTACGTATTGCTAAAGGACTTTCATAAATATTGTTTAATCATTTTCATTTAAGTCTGATGCCGCCTTTGTCGTAATGTTCGGGCATTTATTGACTATTATTTGCTGATATACTTCCTTTCTATACGAAGTTACAAAACTCCATCGCAATTTTTGACAAATTTTAAATTTTTTAATTGGCTCTAATAAACTTTCCTACCTTTCCTATTCAAAGAAAAATTGATTTCCATGTTTTTGGTCAATTCTTAACTATATCAGAAGACATTGTGCATTTGTTGTGTCCAATTTGTACCTAAATTAGTAGGAGTATCAGATTATCAACATCGACTGAAATCTCATGGCTTCATAGCTTATGTGCATTTCACTTAGTTTTGAGATACGGCAGTCTTGCATTAAGTGCACAGGTAATGTTCGGAAATGCAATACAAACATTTTGATGAATTTGAGCATTACGCAACTATTAAAAACCGTTTATACTTACATATATTAAAATTACATTAACTTTTTTATGCATTAATGATAAATTTAAGAATTCGGCAAATTTTGACTTACGTGAGTATTGCTCTCACAGTGCGATGTTTATTTTTTTAAATAAAAAAATTTCGGGGGTTGTATCAAATAAAAGAAACACGTGGTATACATATGTTATAGAAAAAACTTGAAAATAAATTGGAATAAATCTCATAAAAACAGATTAAACAGTCCTATTTTATTTTTAATCGATTTTATCCAACTGATTTACGAAAAGTTCCAGAAAAATTGAAAAATACGTAAATTGGACAACTGAAAAATCGGAATATCGAAATCTTGCGAAAGTGTGAATTAAAAGCATTGAACCACTGAAAAATCGAAAAGCTGAATAGAAAATTTTAAGAAGCGAAAAGTGGGAAAACCAAAAAATCTAAAACCACAAAAAATGAAGAACTGAATGAAATATGTAATATAAAAATCGGGATCTCGAAAAATCGAAACATTGAAAAGTTGCGAAATCAAGGAGTGGGAAAATCTATATATCGAGAAATTGAGAAATCGGAAATTTGGGAACGCCAAAAATTGAAAGATGGAAAAACCGAAAAATTGAAGTATTGAAGAATCAAAAAACTGAAATAACGAAAATTTGAAAATCTCACTAGAAAAGAATCAAATGAAATAACTTTTACAAATAAATATACTAAAGTATGACAGTCACAGTATGTGTTAAAAAGTAGGTCATTTAAAAAATAAGTTTATGTTAACAGACTTAACAAATAATAGATAATAACCTTTTTAGGTCAGTTTAATCCCCAAAGCCCTCCTAAAGAAATTAAATTTATTTAAAAGTCTATGACGTAAACGACAACGGCCAATCGCGCCATTGGCAGCTGATGTGTGTATTAATTTAAAAATATCAATTATAAAAAGAATAAAAATTTGCCAATTCTGCCTGTATTAGAAATCTAAAAATACAGGTTTGAGTCACAACGTCGACGCCATTTATGCGTCATATTTGTAATGTACTAAATTAAGCTTTCCCTTTCAAGCTAAAAGCAATAGCGTTTACAGAATTTGAATATCTCTATCATTTCTCAAGATATAAAGCCCCAAAGTTTTACTGGGACACCTGTAAATACAAACAGTCATTTCTACTAGCAGTTTATTGCTGCAAATAGTGAAAATCAAGAAAATCTTAAGCATTTTTTCAAGAACCAACATCAACTCTTTTAAATAATATTGCATTGTTAATTATCGACATTAAGATACACGAAAAAATCTAACTCACCTCTAAATACTTTTCACTGTCGTCAGACTTTATCAGGGAGGTAGTAGATTTGGAAGAAGACAGACCTAAATGACCCATCTTATTGGGAATATGTTGCTGAGACGTACTCTTCTGCAATATATCCCTCTTACTATCTTTTTTACCATCCTGTAAAGAAACCCAGAAATCACCCAAACCAAAATCATAAATTTCGATCTACCTGTTCGTCGTCGGACCCGTGAAACGCCCCCCTTTCATCGAACGTCCCCCCACCTTCAGTGGGATTCTCCGTGGCCCACTCCGGCAAATGGTCTTCATTGTCCCAGGACCTCCTCAGAGGTCCCCCGCGACTGTTCTCGTGCCACGAGGGCCGACTTCCTCTCTCTGGTGGCCCGTTCCTCTCCTCCGAATCCCCGTCTCCTCTCCAGCTCGCCGAGCGACCCCACTTCTCGTGCAACGACCTACTCGAACTGATGTTTCGCCACCCCTCATCCTCTTCGCTGCTATTTCGGACGCGCCGCCAATTATCGGTGACGCTCGACCTTGACGAGAACTCCTTGCGGGGGCTCCAGTCGGGCTGCTCGCCGTTACCCCAGCCGCTGTCGTACGCGGAGGCGGCGCGGCCGTACGCTTGGTAGCCCCCTCTGCCGCGACTAATCCGACCCCCTCGTTCCAGCGACCCTCCTCGGCCTCGAGGCGCCCCACCTATGGATGTGGGGCGCGTCTGCCAGCCCCTCTGCTCCTCCTCCGTGTTGGGGAGAAGAGCCAGAGGCACTAGGGTTTGTTCGGAATATAGTGTTTTGAAAGTGAGGAGAGACGACGGGGGTTTCACGAGTTTGTCAAACAATGCCAACATTTCTTCTCTGCCATACCTGGTGCAAAAGTCCCGTTCGGTGAACCATATGGGTGAGGTTTGGGGCTTACCTATACTCTGCTAACTGATACCGCGAACCACTAGCGGTTCCTCCACCAGCCGAACTGGTGGTGGTGCCTTCAGGGCGAAGGTTACGAATCCACGCTGGACCAAAATTCATTGAGGAATCGGTCATACTGCAAAAAAAACACGGGTTGGAAAGTCGCATGATAAACAGATAACGTAATCAAGGTAAATTCAGGAAGCGTGAAGATTTCATAACTAAATACAAAGCCATATTTTAGAATAAAATGGAGGTGACTATTTATAGCAAAATACCAGATCACGGCAAATCAATGTCGCTGAGAATATAGCAACGAACTAGACGTTCACACTCTTCGTTTAACCATCAACTTAATAACTGTATTCGGAAAGCATGAACTCGACACTACAGCCCCAGGCTAGGTCTAGCTGGCACTTGAAAGTGACAATATAGTCGGGTTAATGCATGGTTTTCCGATGAAAAAATTTACTTTCTGTGATCAAGGCTACATCCGTTTTAAATATTTTTACACTTCTTTAGCCAATAAGACATCTGTTACCTGATTATAACGTTTTACACTTGATAATATGCAATCAACATAAATGGCTGAAGCAAAATTGTAGGTTAACGCGCATGTGCTCAATTGTCAAACAATTGAAAACAAAAAATACCCTAGATTTCAAATTTTTTACGACATTTTTTTTATAGCGGAAAAATTTTAAATCGAAATTTATTTTTTTAAATAAAATTATATAACTGAATTTTTCTTTTAATAAATTATCACTTAATTATTATACAACTATGTATTCCAATTATTACTCTTGTTGCGATTTGAAACTATACCATTAGCACGAAAGTGACAATCCTACGATTAAAAATAATAATCGTTGTAAAACATTTAAAAAGAATTATTTAAAATTTACTCCAAATGTCATTAAAATGACTAAACTTAATAAAAACAAATTATCTAAACACTTATGGACGAAATCTCAAAAATATTAAAAATTTACAAATTTCGAATACTTCTTATTTCTCGAAGAAATCGCTATCAAAATCGCACCACTAGATAAACAACGTATAAAATATTAACACTGTTGTTGTTGTTATTGTTAATATTATTATATTATCATCATGTTGAAAAAATGAGTTAGCGTAATTGCAAAATCCATATTTGTTTAAAAAACATTACCAATTTGATAGACCTTTAATTTTCTGGTTGTGAAAAGAAAACTATTTACAGTAGGTAAAAAAAACAGGACAAAATGCAAGCGCCGCCCACCCGCCCTATCTCAACTGTGATGATTTTTTTATGCATGGGTGGGGCTAATATGTTGCGTTTTTTCTAAGTATACGTAATTTTCTTTTCATAACAAGAAACTGAAAACAAGTTCAAAATGGTAAAATTTTGTGTGGAAATACAGATTTTGCAATTAAGCTCCGCCCCCTAGTTCACGACAAATTAAAAAAAATCATCACAGTTGAAGTGGGGTTTAATTTTGATTTTTATTTCTTTTTTAATATTCGTAATCTTCTTTCTACAACAAGAAACTTAAAACATGATCAAAATGGTACATTTTCGTAGAGAAATATATTTTAAAAAAGCCAAATAATAATCAATTCCGATTAATTTTTCATTCTTTGTCAGACCGAGGGGCGGAGCGTAATTGCAAAATCTATATTTGCTTAAAAAATTTACCAATTTGATAAAGTTTACCTAAGTCTTTGGTTGTGAAAAAAAAAACTATACGTACAGTACGAAAAACAAGGCAAAATGCATTTTCTTGTCATAGTTTCCGCAGTTATAATTCGGTTTTATGGTGTGTAGAAATTAAGTTCCTTAACAACAGATTACTACTGCCAATGATGGGACAGTCATAAATAAGTATTTAACCATTATTACTGTGTAATGGTGTAATGGTAACGACGTGGCTAAATCCTTATTTATGACTGTCCCATTACCGGCAGTAGTAATCTGGTGTTAAGCAAGTCAACTTTTAAACAATGGGTTATCAGTTATCAGTATCACTTATCATAAAACCGAATTATAAAGTTTATTGAAAATAAAGTTTATTGAATTAGAACTGAGGAAACTATACGTTACTACACATTCTTTTCCAGAACATAATTTCCCCAATTTTATAATTTATAATTTAAAATGTTAGATATTTGCCAGTTTTGTTTAATTTTTATTTCTCAGACGATTATTTATGTGCAAAATAACTTACATAAATTCTCATGATTACCGAGTTAAACTCTGTGGTCATTCTAAAGATCCGTCAACACTGCAATTTACTTCGAAAATGCACGTGATTAAGTTTTACTAGTATACTTGTCAAGATGAGACTGATTTTGGCAAATGACATATCTTTTAAGAAAATTAAAGGGTGGGTGGGCGGCGCTAGTACTTGCTAAGATAGGACTGATTTTGCTAAAAGTTTGTCGTTGTTAAATTATAATTTAAAAACCATGCTGATGCTCTATATAGAATTAATTCGAAAATTTAAAAAAAATATTGGAAAGGAGGGAAATCCATCTGTAAACTTCAAAACAAGATAGCTCTTAGATTCTTTCCATTTCATAGGGAAAAAGATGGAAAAAAAATCACAACAAAAACTCTCAAAAAGGGCCAAAAATTTAAAAATATGAATTTGAAGATTATTTATGATCACAGAACATGCTCGCTACGCTCGCCTTTCAGAAGTTCATTTAAAAAAGAAGACTGAGAATGCGAGCGCAGCGAGCACGTTAAAGAGTAATTTAAAAAATTGTTCATGTTTTGGTGTCTCTGAAAAACTAAATTATTAAAAACAATTTTTGTTATTTTTTAAAAATCTGAACTTGAAGATTGTTTGTGATCAACTGATCACTGATGTTTCTGGAACTGAAATATCCTGAACGTGCTCGCTACGCTCGCCTTTTTGTGGTTAATTTTTTCAGAGTAATTTACCTTGACAGGGAGATTTCGAAAATTATTATAATAAAAACTAAGTTACCTTGTTTTTGTTCATTCCTAAGTGTTTTTATAACACCAAGTTAATTAAAAAAAGAACATTCAGAATGCGAGTGCAGAGGGCACGTTTAGGTAGTAGGTATTCAAAATTATCCGTCGGTGTTCCTCTGGGAATCATTATTACTTAGAGAATTTTTTAATGTTAAAAAAAATCAATCTTGAGAATGTGTGAATACTAAAGTCAGAGAGACCCCAACAGTTGAACAGTGTGAACGTGCTCGCTACGCTCGCATTTTAAGGATTTATTTTTTTAAAGTAACATTACTGAAGAAAGGAGTTGTGATGTAATTCCTTCAGATCTAAAACACAAACTACTCACCTCCTTATAGTAAGGGAACAAACTTCATAGTTTACTCAAGTCGATGTTAAATTTAAATTAATCCTATTTTGATGGGCTTACGTCAGATGTGACAATTAAGCTGTCACTCGTTGGGATATTTATTGCTTTACCAACATGAGTAATAGTGAATTATGTGAACACAATTTATGCACCTAGCGACAAAGTGAATCATTCAAAGCCATTGATTTAGAATAGTGTTTATACATATTTCATACTGCTGATTTATCAAACCACTCCACGTGGTTGAGAATATGAACAGAAATTTTGTTGATTGCAAAAATTTGTGCATAAAATGTAACACAGATTGAAATAATAGTGTAGAGTGTGATTTGCGACAGACAGATGTATAAAACCGTTATAGTTTTTATTTTAAATTTAAAAAAAATAGAAAAAATTTTTCTTTAGATTCCGATTTCACAGCACCAAAGTTTGCCCAACGACCATAAGATAATATTATTTTGTCTACTTTGAATTTCTGAGCTTTTTATGTTTATCTAATATTTTAAGATGTGAAAACCTGTTCACTTTATTATTACTATTACTATTATTATTTTTTATGGAAAACAACATAATTCTCTTAATGAAATTTATCACACTGCAATAAATAAGGCTATTTTAAAAAGTGATCTATTTGTCTGTAAACACTCAGGAATCCGTTGCCCCCTCGTTACGCCACTGCCTCTACATAATGTAAATACATACCTCGAAAAATATTTACGCTTACGTGTACGCCTATGTTTACGGAAGTAAATACCCAGAAGGTGGGATCAAAGTAGGCTTGCTATTTTCACTTCGTCGCATTTCGTCCCCAGATCGACTCAGTTCGCTACTGCGTTTAAAAGGTGGTTGTGTACTTGACAGTTCACTACAAAGAAACTTTTTTTAATTAAAAACAATTTAATCAAACCAGATACTTTTTTAAACGTGAGTACCCACTTCCTAAAAACGCTCGTGTCTACTTTTGTTGATTTTCGAGCGTATTTTATTCATATTCACCGTAAATTTCGGGAATATTGCAGAACCGGCTCTAGAATATTCCACCGTAACCATGCCGGAACCCATTGATATTTCCCCAAATGAAGATAACGGCGTGCTCAAGGAAATTTTGCAAGAGGGACAAGGCGATGAGTATCCACCACCAGGATCCAAAGTTAAAGTCCATTATACCGGGACTTTAACTGATGGAACAAAATTTGACTCAAGCAGGGATCGAAATGAGCCCTTTGAATTTGATTTAGGGAAAGGTAGCGTGATAAAGGCGTGGGATATCGGTGTGGCGACTATGAAAAAGGGCGAAAGGGCGATGTTAACGTGCGCTTCTGAGTATGCCTATGGAAAGTCTGGTAGTGGTCCGACGATACCTCCAGACGCCACATTGAAATTTGATGTGAGTGTGATAAAATAATTAATGTTTATATAGTTTCAACGAATTTGTAGGTGGAAGTTATAGGGTGGAAATGTGAAGACATCAGCCCTAAAAAAGATGGAAGTATTGAAAGACAACTAATAACAGCAGGAGAGGGGTATACATATCCGAATGATGGTGCTACAGTAGAAGGTGTGCACAACTTGACGTTCAATCAAATTAATTTATTTGCAACTATGTTGTTTCAGTGAGTTTGGTGGGTAAACACGACGGGAAAGAGTTCGACGTGCGTGACGTCACATTCACAGTGGGTGAAGGTTCTGAACAAAATGTTATATTAGGTATAGACAAAGCAATTGAGAAGTTTAAAAAGGGTGAAACTTCTAAGTTGATTATTAAACCACATTATGCTTTTGGATCTCAGGGATCTACCGAATTTAACATTCCTCCCAATGCAACAGTCGAATATACAGTAACATTGAAGGAGTTTGAAAGAGTTAAAGAAAGCTGGGCTTTGGACACAAAAGAGCGCGTAGAACAGGCCAAAATATTCAAAGAAAAAGGCACTGGCTACTTTAAAGTTTCAAAGTTCAAACTCGCCATTAAAATGTACAAAAAAATTATTGACTATTTAGATTCTCAAAAAGGTAAAATAAGACTGGTACAATAAGGAAGTATAAATAAAATGTTTGGTTTGTAGATGATGACCTCCAAAAGGAAATTGATGCTCTTATTTTAGCAGCACATCTTAATTTGTCTTTATGCTATTTGAAGATTGAAGACAACTTTGAAGCAAAAACTTCAGCAACTGCTGCTTTAGCAATTGATGCTGATAACGTAAAAGCATTGTTTAGAAGAGGACAAGCTTTATTAAAGCTTGGAGAACCCAAAGATGCTTCAAATGATTTTTCACAATGTCTCAAGTTAGATCCTGAAAACTCAGCTGCCAAAACACAACAAGCGTTGTGTGCTAAAACGCTTAAAGAACAGCTGCAAAGAGAGAAAAAAGTTTATGCCAATATGTTCGACAAATTTGCAAAAATGGATGCCCAGGTGAAAACTAATTAATTTTATTTTACTAGTGGCCGTAGCGTCTGTTGTGTGGCATTTAAATTTTCATTACGAATTTTTGATGATAATTTAAATAAATGTTTTTAATTATGACGGGTTTTATTTATGTATAATATACAACACTTGTAGAGGGAAGAAATAGAAAAAAAGAAAGAACCAAATGTGATGTCATCAGTGGGAGAGTGGGGTAAGGAAGATCGAGAAAGAGAACCAAGCGAGTTTGAAAAGGAAAATCCGAATATTTTGTTGCTTAATGGTAGTGGAGAATTTAAAGACATGTAAACTGTTTTGCTCTTTTCATACTGAATAAATCTAGTTTAAAGCTAAAGTTGTGGTTTAAATACGATATAACTAGAAAAATATGATTTATTTTACCTTATTAGGGTTGATGCGTACTTGTAAAAAAAAAATTAAATAGGGCGCCAGGAATTTCCTTTTAGGACTAGCTCGAGACGGAGACATCGAACACCGTTGGGTTGGTAGACATGCCACCAATTTTCAATAGTGAAAAATAAAAATGGCGGAGCCTGATCTAAACGTCGACAATTTGATTCAAAGATTATTAGAAGGTAAAAAAAATACTATTTTTACGCTTTTTGCTTTAATTAACAATCGTAGTTTTACTCAAAATTACTAGAATTCGATTTGCATGGTTTAATATGTAAAACATTTCATAACATGTTCACCAGTCAAAATAGAAGACATAAAATCCTTTTACTTGCCTAATTATGATTATCTTTAGTCCAGTAAGATACATAAGTGTGAGTTTTTGCACATTAATCTCTTTATTCAGTATCCTGATTTTTGTTAATGATATTATTTAAGTTAGAAGTAAGGGACACACTGACTGCTTTTTTACACTTCTGATTTAGTTAAGTTTTGTATAAATAAATAGTTTGAGTGTTTATTTTTGTGCTGCTTTTCGTGTGATGTGGGTACAGGGTATAAAACTCTGCGAGACTTACAAGAAAACCAGGATGTAAAGAAGAAATCTAAATTCAAAGATATATTCATATCTTCTGAACGTAAGATCACATATATAATAGCAGTATAGCTTAGATATTTGTTATTGTTCATCATTTACAGTAACAGTAAAGCCGTCAAATACTTTTGTAGTTAATTTGGTGCACAAATTAATTTTGAACAATTTCTGCCTTGTTCAGTTTGCTTGTTCTACACTTTTTTTAAATTACTCATTTAGAAGTATCATATTGCTGCAGGGTCCTATAGAATCGTAATAACAAGATAAATTAAGATCAACTGAAATAAAAGTTGATTGAGTCCTTGCTTCTATTTGATTTTTTACAGTTTGCATATTTTATTTCTTAGAAAGCGGCACAGAAAGGTGTTATAAATATTTTGTTCTCAGTACGAGGATGTCGCCCTGGAAAATCTGTACAAATGTCGGAGTCGGAAGTGCGAGGGTTATGTCTGAAATCCAGGGAGATCTTTCTTCAGCAACCCATACTACTTGAACTCGAGGCTCCTCTAAAAATATGTGGTAAATCAGCAAGCAAGCATAAATATGTGTAAATTAAATGGTGACAATTGGCAGGAGACATACATGGTCAGTACACAGATCTGTTACGGCTGTTTGAATATGGGGGCTTCCCTCCAGAGGCTAACTACTTGTTCCTCGGTGACTACGTAGATCGTGGCAAGCAATCCCTAGAAACCATCTGTCTCTTGTTGGCCTACAAAATAAAATATCCAGAAAACTTCTTTCTACTCAGAGGAAACCACGAATGCGCCTCAATTAATCGAATATATGGATTTTACGACGAATGTAATAATCACTAAATCACACAATCATTTCCACACTGATAATTGCTTACAGGCAAGAGACGCTACAATATCAAGTTATGGAAGACTTTCACCGACTGCTTTAACTGCTTGCCAATAGCGGCTATAATCGACGAAAAGATTTTCTGCTGTCACGGAGGTCTCAGTCCTGATTTACAAGGAATGGAACAAATTAGGCGCATCATGAGGCCGACCGACGTACCTGATACAGGTTTGAAAAACTATCACTTTGTACCTATACATAACACGATTGTTCAGGTTTACTCTGCGACTTGCTATGGTCTGATCCTGATAAAGATGTACAAGGTTGGGGCGAAAATGATCGCGGGGTGTCGTTTACTTTCGGTGCTGATGTTGTCAGTAAATTTTTGAACAGGCATGATTTAGATTTAATTTGTCGGGCTCATCAAGTGGTGGAAGATGGGTATGAATTTTTCGCTAAAAGGCAGCTAGTCACGCTTTTTTCTGCTCCTAATTATTGTGGCGAGTTTGACAATGCAGGAGGAATGATGAGTGTGGATGAGACGTTGATGTGTTCTTTCCAGGTAAGTTGGTGAGTGTGTTTTTGCGATGTGTAATTTTTTGCGTGGGTAGATATTGAAGCCATCAGAAAAGAAAGCCAAGTATCAGTATCAGGGAGTGAATTCGGGACGTCCGTCAACGCCGCAGAGAAACCCTACAACAAAGAAGAAATAAAACGTGAGAGAATACTATTATTGACATTTTTTCATTTACTTTCAACAGTGCATTTGTAACGTTATATTCTCTAATACTGCTAGACAGTCAGTCCTTTTTTATGTTGAAGTATTATTATTTTATATATATTATAGTTTTCTCCTTTTTCTTCTTCTTCATTTAATTAAATTGTGATTGTATTGACTGATTATAAGTTTATTTTGTTTGACTGACTGTTGATTTGTATTCATTGTCGTATTGTAAATAAATTATGTTATTTATTTAGGAACAAGACCAGTGGATTGGTGTGTTTAGTAAAACTGTTAAATTATTCTCAACTTGCTTGCATTTACATGTGCATCGTAAAGTGGCCCAGCCAAAGACTTTGTGATTGGTCATTTTATTCGTTACTATTTTTAAATGTGTAGATGAATCATTTTATAATTTTTGGGTTCCTAAATATTGCAATTGCATCTTGACAAATTGCGATCACGTGGTTAATCACATGTTTGTATAGAAATCGGCATAAATGCATTTTGTTTCACTCGTACTATTGTTTGTGTTTAATATTATTTCATTTAATGACAAATCTATTACACCTAATGTACTTTAAATTTGACAAATAAATCTATATATTACTACTGAATGTTTTTTTTCTTGAGTAGAAATTTCGCTTTTCTCCAATTAATGTTGCTGAATTTATAAATGGAAATCACCGTTACTCCGCTACCAAAATTTCTAAGATTAAAAACAAACCGCTCCTAAAATAATGAATAAAAATGTGTTCTAGCAAGAACTGTTGCATCTCAAGGGGTATATATTTTTTTATTGGCATTTAATACTGATCTGAAATGACGTCACCAGCGTTGTAGTGGGGCTGAATAAGTAAAATTTAATTTTCTGTATGTCTACATCAGATCCAGTGTTATTAAAATTTCAAAGATTTTTTAAGTAAATTCGTTTTTTAAGACTAACTGCACGCACAAACTGAAAAACACTTGAATTATGCAATAGGATTACTTGATGAAATTTTGAGATGAATAAGTAAATTGCAAAATTAAATATTTCAAAGTAATCTGTTCGGTAATTTTGAAGATTCTTTCGAATTCCGCTCAATTGTACTTCGAGTTGTATGAACTGTAGAAAATATGAGATTAAACATTTAAATTTCTTTTATCATAAGATTATTTTTCGAGTGGTGAAATTAAAAATGGGTTCTGACTAAATTTAAAATTTCTCTGAAAAAAAAATTGTCGAAAGTTGTTTCAACAAAACTTCCCTCGCTCCTGAAGTACAATGAAACATATCCAGCATTTTTCAATTTTTGAGAACGCCTATAAATTGATATACATATTTTGATTATAAATTTACGATGCCTGCAATAACTTTAAAACGTCTGCAAGATTTCAAGACATTCGATTTTGCAGTTCTTGATTTAATCAATAAAATAAATTGGGTCATTAATTTTTTTTTGCATCACCTTGTATAAGCAAATCGAAAAAATATGAATGCAAATGCGATAATTTCAAAAGTGTGCGGTATACTTTTGTCGAACGATAAAAAAAGCAAAATAAGAATGACAATCGATACTGCAAACAAAACGTAGGCGGCAGCTCTTTGTGCAGGTGGTTGCCTGGCTGCAAGACACAAATCAGTGGAACGCCCGGAAGTGGCCAATTTTGCATTTTGCACAATCTCGAGATAATATGTGGCATCAAACGGTCAGTCGAAGACGAAATCGTATTCCGTATAAAACCGTCTCTGCACAAGTACGGACATTGTAAAATATATTTTTGCACTCATGACCTTTTTTGATAGCTTTCGCGCATTCACCAGAGTGCGGGAGGTCGAATTTCCCGCACACGTGCATTTAACTTCCCGTTGCCATGGTAACCTTAAAATACTCGGGTAGTGTCAACATTGTGACGTGTTGACGGCGCTGTCAATGGCGTTGTTTATAAATAACTCACAGTTAATGTCTTCAGTTTAAAGGTTTATTCGTCGCAAAAAATATTGTACACAACACGTTCGTGAGCCTGCTTCCCGCATTCACGCAAATGCGGCACTCCCTTCGGTCGTGCCTCAAACAAGCGTTCATGCGGGAAGCAGGCTATCCCGAACTAGTTGCGTAAATTACTATTGCAGCAGATTATCAACGGGAATAAAGCTATCTGAGCAATATGCGTAGTGTTTAAAATGTTAATGTTTATACATCGGAAGAATGTTACTTAGACATTTGTTTGATTTGAATGAGTTCATCGCCTCAAAACAGATGAATGGAACAAAATATTCTGAATGTTATTATTATAATTCTTCAATAATAAATTCACTGATTCATTAATTTTTTTGAGTCTTCCTGTATAAATTTAAAAAATATGAACGCAATGATAAATTATAATTATAGTCTGACCATATTTTACACATTTTCCAAAGGATTTATTCGGCAAAATTTTGAGATGACGTAATCAATTTTTTGGGGTTGATAAACATTTTGTTTATAAAAAGTTGCCATGCTTACAATAACTTCAAAACGTCTGCAAGGTTTCAGAGTATTCAGTTTTGCAATTCTTGATTTAATCAGTAAAATAGATCGACTCAGTCATGAATTTTTTTTGAGTCAGCTGCGTTGACTTTTGTTTTGAATTTACCATGCTTATGATAACTTTAAGAAATCTCCAAGATTTCGAAGGATTCGGTTTTGTAGTTCCTGGTTAAATCAGTAAAATCAGTGTTTTGAGTCAGCCTGTATATGCAAATCTAAAAAATACGAACGGAATGATTTGCTCATACAGGATGACTCAAAAAATTAATGAATCAGTCAATTTATTTCATTGAATAAATCAAGAATTGCAAAACTGAATATTTTGAAATCTTGCAGACGTTTTAAAGTTGTTGTGAGCATGGTAAATTGTTTATCAAAAGATATGTTTATTCCCCTCAAAAAATAGATGACGTCATCTTAAAAATTTTGACGAATAAATTTCATCCAAAATGTGCAAAATATGATGAGTGTTTAGTTGTAATTTATCACTGCATTCATAAGTTTTAGATTTGTTTAAACAAGTGCCTCAAAAAATTAATGAATGAGTCAATGAAATCAACATCGAGTTTGAGAGTGCGTAGACGTGCGATTTTGTGCTCTGTGATTTTGTGATTATATTACTGGTTATCTTACGAAATTTAATCAAATTTTTTGAAGAAATATACTATCGTGGTCTGGATGGTCTGTTGAAGTTACTACACTTTCCATTTTGCTCAAGATAAGTGCATTTTGTTTAGATCGGTTGTGTTTATTGTCCTCAGCCTTGAGGCTTTTTACCTTTCACTATCAGTGTCTTTGCTTGCGCTCAGCTGATAGCCTATATGTATAGCTGTTTTTCTAACACCTTATACGAGGGACGTGTAATTTATAGTACGTTGTATTACGTTAGATCTATTGCTGTAATTTTTGCTAGTACGCTTATTGTTTACTTTGTTTCTCTTTGTTTCCTTGCAATGGCTGATAACTGCTCTAGTTGTAGTAGAAAATTTGGATCTCGGGAGGCGCGTATAACATGTTTTGCTTGTAAAAAAATCTTTCACGCGGCCTGTGCCAACATCGCAAAATTTGATTTCCAAAGATTTACTGATGGTAATTCCTCATGGCTTTGTGAGAAGTGCTCCGATAGTGGTTCTAGAGACTAGAGATAAGAATTCGCAGACCTCAACACCTGAGCCGTTAAATACTACTCATTTCCATGCTATCATGAATAAGATCGAGCAATTATGTAAGGAAGTTTCCACTTTAAAAACTTCTCAAATGGCACTATCTAATGATGTTGCTAAATGCAATGCAACACTTGTAGCGCAAACAAAAATTTTACAAACTCATACTGAGCAACTGACTGTCCACGAAAAATCAATTGCTGACCTTCAGTCGGCCAATAAAGACCTTTTGGTACGTGTTGATAGTGTCACTGACGCATTGGAATAATTTAATCAGGATGTGAGGGCTTCACCTTTTAGTGCTGACTTAGCTTCTTCAACAGATGATGTCATAAGTGAAGCTGTGGAACAAGCTCGCAGATCCAATAACATTATTATCTATGGTATCACTGATACAGACAACACCGAGCTTGACAAGGCAGTTGTTTCCAGACTATTAGGCTGTTTTGCCATCGATCTTTCTACCGTCGCCTCTTTTAGACGATGGGCAATTTCTCCACGTCAGCTAAGAAGCCTAGAACTTTAAAAATAATGTTTACCAACTCGCAAGTGGCTAGAACCATTCTGATAAAGAGGGTGACATGTTTACCCAATATGGAGTTCTCTAAATTGCAATTCTCAGATGATAAAACCCCAAAACAATTATCTTACCTTAAATCTCTGAGAACTGAACTGAAGAGTCGTCAGGAAAAGGGTGAAAACGATATCACTGTCAAATTCATCAAGGGTGTTCCCAAAATTATTAATATTCCAAAAAACTAACTGCTGTTAGTGTTACTGAATTGACACTTATTATACTAATCTTTGTTCTCTTCCAGCTAAATATAACGAATTTCTAGCATATATTCAACTTTCTAAACATTCAATAATTCTAATCTCCGAAACGTGGCTTCATCGTGGTTATACTGATCCAATTATAACCGTTCTTGGGTATACTATTTACAGGGCAGATCGCGCAGATCATAATGGTGGTGGTGTTAATATTTCCACGCCTGCTACTGAAGCATTATCGATATTATGCAAATCTTCTACCCTGTCCTTTGTAATCATCTGTGTCTATCGTCCCAAAGATGACGCCATTTTATATAATAACATCGATAATGAATTGTTACAGTCATAATCATTTCACATTTGGAGACTTCAACTTCCCTATGATTAAATGGGTTACTGGTACCTGTCCGGATTCTGTAGGTCCTTCTAAATTTATTGAATTTCTTCATAATAACAATTTATCTCAACTTATAGACAGACCTACTAGATACAGAGACGGAGATACTCCCTCAACTCTTGATTTATTACTAATTAGTGATCCCAATTTGATTTCGACTCTCGATTTTGATCCTCCCATTGGTAAATCTGATCATGTTGTCGTGCCACTATGCAGATCATCAGCTATAGCAATAAACAGAAAGTGACTGTGTATAAACGAGTGATACATTTTTCTAAAGTGGAGCGAGATATAAATGCGGTTAACTGGGAGACTTCGTTCTCACAACAGAGTCTTCCTCATTGCTGGTGGTATTTTGTTAGTATCGTTAATTCCTTTGTTATTTCCAACAGTAAGCTAAAACCATTTACCTACAACCCTGTTAAACCTTGGATTGATGATCATGTTTTCAATCTCATTAAAGTTAAACGCAAATTATGGCACAAATTTAAAAGAACTGGCTCCGTAGTCGATTACAGAGCTCACAGAGCATTTTCAAATGAATTATCTAAAACGATCTTTAATTAAAAAAAACATACGAGGAAAATCTCATATATAACAAACAAATTTTTTAAGTATGTGAGGTCGTCTTTAAGTTCCAAAGTTTCTCATCCTATACTTAGAACAAATGACGGAAAGGTTACAGATGATAAGGCCCTCATTGCTAATATGTTTGTTGAAGCATTTACCAAATCTTACACCATCTTATCTCTTGAATAAGATAAAAATATCAA